TTGTGGAACTACTGTGTATTAAAAGTTTGTAACAAGGAAGAATAAACTGGTTTAATCAAGAAACGAGTTGTATTGCTGAAGATCCTCAGAAATAATTTCTACAGGAAACAAACAAACAAGCAGATACGTAATAAATCGGTGCCAGGGGTGGGGGGCTAGTCAATGATAAGGCAAGAAATACAACCATAAAGAAAGGACATCCTCTCCCAGAACATTTAACTGACTTCTATAAGATGAGCATAGTCCATTTGTCATCATCACAGGCTAGGAAACTTTTGGCAAATTATGCAGACGTCTTTTCAAAAGGAGATCATGACCTTGGCTACACAGACCTTGTGGAGCACAGAATAAACACAGGCAATCACCGTCCAATAAAGATCCCTCCAAGGAGAATAGCTCCAGCAAAGCAACAAGAGATGGAGAAGGGCATGGATGGCTTAATTAAGGAAGGGATAGTCGAGAAATCAGATAGTCCTTGGTCAGCTCCCGTCATGTTAGTTCCAAAGAAGAATGGGACCCAACGTTGCTGTGTGGACTTCAGAGCTCTTAACAGTATAACCGAAAAGGACTCATACCCACTGCCAAGAATTGATGATACTCTTGATGCCCTAAGTGGAGCCATATGGTTTTCAACTCCGGACATAAGTCGGGTTTCCATCAAATGAAAATGGCTGAAGCAGATAAACCTAAGACTGCATTTAGTTATGACCAAGGTCTCTAGCAATACTGTGTGATGCCATTCGGGCTTAGCAATGAGAGGCTGATGGAAATAGTACTGGAAGGCCTACAATGGAGGATAGCCCTGGTGTACCTGGATGATGTCATATTGTTTGCAGCAATATTTGATGAGGAAGTATCCTGGCTAGAGGAAGTATTCAAGTGTTTGAAAGCAGCAAACCTCAAACACCATCCCAAGAAATGCCACTTGTTCCAAAAAGAAGTACTTTACTTGGGTCACATTGTAAGTGAGCATGGTGTGCAAACTGATATTGACAAAGTGAAAAAAGAGCTGATTGGCCAACACCAGACAATGTGGGAGAGTTAAGAAGTTTCTTGGGACTCCGTACCTATTACCGGAAGTTTGTGAAGGACTTTCAACTATAGCTGCTCCACTACATGATTTGACAAAAAAAGGCCAGAAGTTTGAGTGGACAGT